TCCAAAGGAGTGGTTCTCTGTATTTTCTCTCCCCTTCATCCTTTCAGCTCCAGGCCTTTCATTCCCCTCTTCTTCCCACTTCATTTTCCTTTGTTCTCTAGTCTTTTTTTTTTTGTCGTCCCTTGTGTTAACTGTGAAGTAAACATTACTGTTGTTTGCTAAGTCCAAAGCAGCTGAAGAACTCAAGACAACTTTTTCTCTTCTAGTTGTAGCTAAAGAAACACTTGTAATAAATTGAGTGGTCTAATGGTTATACACTGCTAAGGTTTGTGTAACTTTATGTCTCTGCTGTGAGCAGTAATATGTTACCTGATCTACAGTTGGGATTTGGGGCTGCACCACTCATGAATGAGAAACTGCTTGTTACTTTACCTGAAGGTGATAACTTTCAGGTCTGAAAGTGCATCAGCCAGCTCTGCATTCTCTTGTTTCGAAATTGTTGCAAATGAGGTGAGATAATCTGAAGTAGGCCTTTCATTAACAAGATGACAATTAAGATTCTTCTCTTGCAACATCAAGTGAAGATGAATGTCTCCTCCAATACTTCTAACCTAATGTTTTGAAAACAGTTGTTCCCCTTACAAAAAGAAAGCAAGATGCCTTGTTATCTTTTGAGGTATGTTCTCCTTGCAATTTACTGGCCTGTCTCCTTGCTTGGAAAGCATTGCCATAGGCTGCATTTACTTCTCAAGAGTAAGCAGTTGTTCACATGACAAAACTGTGATGCCAGTACCCTTGAGGGCTGGCAATTCTGCAAAGGGCTAAAATATTCTGAGGTTTCTCAGCAGCTCAGTGCTTTTCAACCAAGAGAGCATATGTTCTATATTTAGTTCACTAGTTTCATCTACTGATTGGGTTGTAATTACTTGTTTGAATCAGTTGTATGCTTTGTTGATTTGACATGATTTTTCTAAATGCCCTTGCAGGTTTTTGTGTGCGAGTCTGATCTTTCTGCTTTGTTCCTCAAAATATGTCTGTGTAACTTACTGCTGCAAAGGGTGAAGTGCTACATAGACTTCCATTAGCTTTCCATTTCTCACTGCCCTCTACTCTCCAGTCACTTAGATTTCCTGAGAGGATGCTGCTAGATCAGTTAGGAAACATCTTTGCTCGCTGTTGCTATTGATTTAAAGAATGCACAAGAGCAGCTTCGAAAGGCGAATGTGGCGGTATGGAGGTGGAGGTTGAACCTTCCCACCAGTACTCCATTATGTGTTGTTGCTGTGTGACAGATGGCAGCGGAGGAGCGGTGTGACAAAATGGCATCAGACATGGAAGTGTGTGTGAAACAAAGGTGTGTCATTGAATCTCTCCATGTAGAAAAAATGGCACCCGTTGACATTCACTGATGCTTGCTGAACACTAAAGAGTGCATGTGAGCACAGTGTGGCGGTGGGTGGTGCCTTTCAATGATAGCAACATTGGGTCACCTCTGCTGCTACGAGCATAGCATGGAGGCTCTTTGTCATCGCTGTTGAAAGTGCATAATTGATGGTGGTGACTGTGGTGAAAACTAATGTTTTATAGCTGAGAACCCGCTCTATCAAATAGTATTACTGTGCCTTTTATCTGTTGTACTTTGCATAAAAATAGGAGGCATAATTTTTGGAGCAACCTACATATAAGAAAAAACAAGATTAGTAACAAGCAGAACTAATCTTTCTTATTGTACCCTTTATACTGTTTGACTTCTCAGTTTAAGGAAGTTGTCTCATCAAAATGGTTTAGTGACTTGATAAAATCTCTATCATGTGGAGAATGTTTGAAATACAGCAGTTGACAGGCAGGTAGAAGGTAGTATTCTGGGGAGGAATTTCTTGTTGTGAAAACTGATGCATTAAAAGATTTTTGATGTTTTTCTCTGGTGTTATGACTATTTTCTTTTTTTCCATAGCTTATGTAAGCATTAGAAGAGTAGTGCCTTGTTAAATGTGAGGCATCTCCTGACCTTTCAGACAAGGTTGAGATGCCATTATGAGTGTCCTAAATCAGATCTGCTGAGTTCTTGTAATAGGATGCCGAAGACTTTTTATTTTTCTCTCTTCTTTGTAAAAATTCAAGAAAATTTTGTTTGAAGCTCTTGCCTTAAAAGAAAACAGAAGAAACTGAATTTAGCAACTAAAAACCTAGACAGGCTTCAAGTGAACTCCTCTGAAGTGCTTTATAGTAGAAATCTCCAACATACCCTATTGAACTTTATATGTTCAAGATAAAAAATATCTAGAAGTTGGTATAGTCAGTCCCTTGGGCAGGGCTGAAGTGTTCACACTGTCTACACGTGAACACGCACCTATGCCCAAATTATTGTTACAGGTTTTTAAACTGCCTGTTTGTGCTCAAATTAGAAGTTGATGGGCTGCCCAGCTGTGAGTAAAGGTCATGTTTTGATTCAGAATGTGACACTTTATCGTTTCCATACACAGTGGTTATGATCTGTACTTCTGGTCTCTGTGACACCATGCCCAATAAAGTGAACTGCAACAAATTCTTTTGCCCTCATGTTGGGTAGGATAGAAATTATGCCATGGGTTATTTGTAGTTTGAGGAATCGCTGCCAAAATACTGGAGTGACTATCTGAAGTCGTCTCAGCTGCAGCAGCTGAGGTACACAGATAATCAGTGTGAACTAATTCAGTTCATATATTTGCAAAAACATCACAAATGTCTAACCAAAATTATCAAGCTAGCAATCAGGGCTTTACAGCCTTCCATTCTTGTTCTTATGATCCCTTGTCTGCATACTTGAATTAGAAAGATTCTTGAGTTAAATGCACAAAATGACATTTGTGCATAAATCACTTTGTATTTTGAGTGTAACAGTGGTGGGATGAGGAGAGCCAGAAGGCAAAACTCATGATGAGTCATTCAAGCTGAATAACTGGATTTAGAGGTCCTATCTCTAATATCAGCTGAAATTGACTTATGTAGTTAGGTTTGTTTCTGCAAACTTCAGCAGTTTTCAAATAAACTTCATAATGTGATAAAAGCAGAATCTGATGGTTGGGGTATCGTGGTCTCAGTTTGCTTTGGTTATTAGCTGTTTTGGGGTACAGATTCTAATTTAATTTTTGTGGTAGATTCGGCATTTGTCATAGGAGAACATAAAAGCATTCATTATTAACTTTACATATTCTTTTCTTAGAGAACCAGATTAGTCATTTTTATTTGTGCCAGGAATTATAGAATCATGGATTTGAAAGAGACCTCTGGAGATTGTTCAGTCCAATGTTGCTTCCTGTTCAAAATGAGGTCACAGACACTTGTCCACACAGATTTTAACATTTCCAAGGAAAAAGGCTGCACAACTTTTCTTGGCATCCTGTTCTGTCTATGATGACTGTCGAAGTTTGGGGAGGGGGGATGCCCATTGTCTCATTTTAATTTTTTTTTCACTAGGTATCACTGAGCTCTGTTTTCTCTACTAACCATGTCAAACAGTAATACATTATAATAGGATTCTCTGCTCTGAGCCTTCTAATTCCCAGGCTGAACAGTCCCAGCTTTTTCAGTCTTTCTTGATGTCAGATGCTTCAGGTGCAACTGTCTTTGCTGGGCTTGCTCCAGTAGGTCTACATCTCTTCTGTACGAAGAGCAATAAAGCTGAATGGACCTGCAAGTATGTGCTCATAGACATGAGCCAGAACATAATGGCACAGAGAATCCAGAGGTGTCTGTTTAGAATAGGAGAGGGTCCTACAATTTGGTTTAATGCTCTGCCATGTATGGTCTGTGTACATTTTGCCAATGATTACCTTGGCACTCCTTATAAGAACATAGAGTTTGTATTTGGTTCTAAAGTCCAGCTTGCAGGTTTTGTATAAGATTTTGCAGATGGTAGTAATAGGGTAGGGAAAGATTAGTCAGAAGAGAACCAGTGCAGAAAATGGGCTTTGCTTTTGTGTGCATGTGTGTACAAAGCTTACCTAGCTCATAACTTGCAAATCAATGGTTAAAAATAAAAACTTACACAACTTAGCTTCTAAAGCAAAGGCAAGAGATTTCTTCTGTTTTGTTTTAGTTTGATCATTATTTGTACAGATATGTGTTGAGCAGATGTCAGGTGGAGTTTAAACTGTGTGTGAGCTACCGTTGTTGAACTTGTGGCAGTTATAGACTAGGAGATGTTAATTTTTCCAGTTTCAGCTGAGATTTCTGAATTACTTTACCACTTTTTCCCTTCAGTGAAATCATTTATCCATTTGCCTGCTTTATCTTCCTCCAAGAATGGTTATGCTTTTATTAAAGCTGAGTAGACCTCATCTTGCTATCAGGCAAATATTGCTGCAATATGAACTTTATGCATTGTTGACTTCTGTAAGCTTCTAAGTTTACTCAACAGAATATATCTTATTTAGCAACTGAAATCTGTGACAGCTTGTCATGACTAAGAAGTCTTATTTCCTCCTTTTTCTCCCTAATAGGAGAAGGTGTTAGCACTAAAAGGATGTTGCAAGATAGGGAAAATACAGTCATTTTTATTGCCTTAGTTACACTTAAGCTGTGCATGTTTCAGTGTGTGGACAAGTCTTCTGTCAGACCTAGATGTCAATTGTTTTTCTTCTGTAGAAGCCAGTTAATTATTTTGAGAAAATTTTCAAGTCCATGTTTTAACATATTAATATCCCTTTCATAATTGTTCTTCAATAAGATTTCTGAATTTATCATTACTTACCTTCGGGATTTCCTTAAGTGTTTGTTTTTGAAATCCCAGATGAAGTTTTTCCAGAATGTGAGTGTTGCTCATAAGACATTAGATATCTTAATAGAACACTGCCATGGCATAGTAATGAAGTAAAGTAAGTGCCTCAGGGCTATCCTATAATGCTGCATGCTGTTTGATTCCTAGAGTCACGTATTCTACTTAATATTTTTGTTATCTTTTCAAGTATTAGAAGAAATTCACCGTTCTGCATGTATCCAGTTATTTAGTTATAATCTCTGGTAAGGGAAAGCTAATAGCATGCACTTGGTTTGCTGTGTGTATTTCTTTTCTCTTCTAGATGAAGAGAAGACCTACTAGTAGATCACAAAGCAAACTGAATCAGGCGACAGCTGAGACTGTATTCACCAAATAAACTTAGCTGTCAAATGTGTTTGGGAGTGTTTCATGAGCAGTGGGAGACAGAGGCTCTTTAGGAATCAAGGCCTGGTGGTGGTCATCTGAATTGGTAAGAAAATATGAAATATGATTGATCAAACGAAACTGAGTGTTCCATGCACAGAACTAACTGAGCTTCTTTTAAGTGTGGAAGTGGTGCTATTTCTTCTTCTCTGCCTTTAAGCGTGTGGGAAAGAAGACTGTTTCTAAGCGAAGGGAAGAGGAAACTGTCCCATATTTATTAAACTGGTTTCCTATCAGGAAGTATGTATTGAGATTATATGTTTGGCAAGCAGGAGTACATATTTTGGCACATACTTCTCACTCTGTAACTTTAACAGCTTGCCAACATTGCAGGCGACACTAGCAGCAGCCTGTGTACCAGACAGTTTAGATTATAAATCCCAATGCCTGCCTGCAGTCAGGGAGAAGGTTCTGTGAGGGTGGATACTACTTGATTTCCTTGGTTCTTTTTCTGTTTCTAGTGCACAGGAGAGAGGGTAAGGTACAGCTGGAGGAGTGAAGATGATGGTTATAGTGGTAATAAACCTCTCTGCATCCTAGTTGAATATCCTATGAACATTTACCTAAATTTGAGCATGTTCCAAGCCAGTTGCAATGGAACCAGTCATCTGCAATCAAATTGTATCTGAAAGATACTCTTTAATCCATTGTTTGAGTGCACCAGCCTCCAGAAGTACAAATGACATTGCCCACACAAGCATTCCAGAAATTTTGTATGCAGTCTTTTCTTGCTTATCAAATGCAAAATTTATCCCTATTCTTTTCGTAAAAATACTAATCATATGCCTAAAACTTCTATGGGGCCAAACATTGTGCCGTGAACTTCAGATTTCAGTGATAAGATGCATATTTAGAACTCATTTGACAAGAACAGGGATTAAAATGCAGTTAAGCGTGGAAATGTTTTGACTTTGTGTGATAGTGATGAATGTGCTATTAAAGTAGATTAGATATTTTAAAGAAAATAAAACTTCTAAAGTTTGAAGAAAAGAATCATAGAATTATTGAATGGCTTGGGTTGGGAGAAACTTTAAAGCTCACCCAATTTCAACACCCTGCTGAGGGCAGGATTGCCACCTACCAGATCAGGCTGCCCAACCCTCATCCAGCCTGGCCTTGAACACCTCCAAGGGTGAAGCATCCACAGCTTCTCTGGGCAACCTGTGCAAGCAGGTGAAAAGAGCTGATAGAACTGCATGGAAAAGATTCAGAGGGAAGGACTGGATGTCCAGTATTCTTTTGGTTTTTTTTTTTTTAGGAGAGTTTTCGGGAGAGCTTAGTACCTCTTGAGCAGTTTCTAAAAACTCCAAATTGTGAATTTATTTATCTTGAAAGCTTTAGGAGTCAGGATAATAGCTACAAAGACAGGTTATTTTATATAAACTAATGTATTCAGATTTCTAAAGTTGCATAAAATATTCAAACTGCATTAAAGTGATCTTGTTCACTTCCTAAATTAGTTGAATAGAATAGTTCTGAGGTTTTTCAAGAATATTCAATTTACAGAACTGTTCCTTCTGCAAATAGAATGTTTTAAAAACTCAGATGCATCTTATTATCCTTCAGTGGAATTAAGAGTACCAGATCATGGAATTGCATGCATCTTTCCAACTTCTATTTTTAAAAGCTACTTTTCTTTAAACTCTTTATAAAGTTTCTGATTGTATCCTTAATATTAAAAGGAACATACTGTCTTTCAAGTTAATTCTTTAGGAATACTGGAGACAAATGTGTAAGGAATGCTTATTTGACTGTAGCAGTTAAATATACTTGCTGATTAAAATTTGGTGTGTTTGTCTTCAAGGCAGAATCTTTTTTAAAGCCAGTAAGATTCATCAAATACTAGGAATATGTTTAGGATAGATCTTGAAATGAAAAGGAAACTGTCTACTGACATTCTTTTTGTAATACATGGCTAATATGAAATTATATTTTTTGACATGTAAATTCCCCTGTTTTCATATCTGTTTGTGTGAAGTGTCTGACAATAACAAATTATGGGTGCTCTTAGCTCAATTTTATCATGTCTTAGTCTGCAATTTGTTGTAAAATGTAGCTTTTTAAGTTTGCAATGAGGAAAGCTGCAGCTGCAAAGAGGAAAAACTGATTACTGTGCATATAGGAGCTACTTGCCATCCTCAAAGGAATTGGATTAATAGAATAATGTGTTTGTTTATCTTCAGAGAGAGCATTGAAGTGCTGCCAGCAGGACTGCTGAAATAACTGCATAGTATTCTGTAGACTTGATTATATCTATCATATGCAAAGTGTTTCATATCCTATAAGAGTCAGGGTTTTGAATACTGCTTAGTCATTAAAGATAGAGGTGTTTCTTTTCATCTAGCGTGAAGTCTGAAAACTAACTTAACATCTCTGCTGTGTCTGTGCTGCTTCCTGAACATATTCATAAGTCTAGACTTCCTCCGTGTGGGGAGTCAAAAAGCTTATGAAGCTTGATGTTGATACCTGTAGCTGTCTCCTGAATTAAGGAATCTGAATCTTATTCCAGGGGACTCAGTATGGAACAGTGTGTTGAAGCCATAGTTGAAGACAAAAAGTATATCACTGTGATACAGCTTCAAGTAGTAATATAGTTAATTTGTTTTAAATTGATGTTAATTAGCAGGAAAGGAATATTGTTTTCATGCTATAAAGGCAATAAAGACTTAATCTGCAAAAACACGAACAGAAAGGCTATCAAAATGGTAAGTGTGGAGCACTTAGCTGAGAGTGCTCGTTCTTGTTACGCTCCTTGAAGTAATGACAAAATGTTATGATATTCTATTTTAATTGCAGATCTGGATTTCCCTTTGTTTTGATTTGTATGATGGTCTTGCTGGCTGCAAAAAGCCACTTTCCAAAGTGACAACTCAAACCAAGAACAGCAATACTACATATCAGCCTCTGTGATATGTGGTGTGATTGCTGACCATAGCTGTAAACAGGGTATTCATATTTTTTCCTTTGAAGGAAAGAAGTAGGTGCTTTAGCTCAGCATATTTAGTTCACCTATTATTTACTTGAAGAAACACAGCTGACAATATAAAGAAACTGTTAGTTCTGTTAGGAGCAGATCTGTTGCACACTTGAAAGCTTTTCTTTTATTTCTTAATAGTCAGGAGTTCATGAGAGTACAAAGGGTAGCACTTCTACAACAGGCTTTTGTTAAAACAGTTCTTATAAATCTCTTCTTGAGTCTTTGTCTGGGAGAAACTAGTACTTGTAAATACAGTGAATGTTAATGGGGAGAGTTTATTTTTTCCATCTTCCTTATGATCATCTGCAAGTTAGTTGGTTTAAACACTGTTTGGATGAAGCTGAGGTTTTGTGTAAATTGTGAAGCTAGTAATGACTGTCAGATTGTAGAGGATAGTTCTTAAATGCTTAAGAATGAGCCTCTGGCTGAGAAGTGCTGGCAACTTGCAGGTATTGCAGATACCGAGAGTGCTATTGAAGATGTCATACATGCAGATTTCATAAAATAACTTATATATATTTATAGCCTAAGTGTCTGTAGAATGCAAGTAGCTGATGGCAGCTGTTCAGTCAAATGAAGTGTAGCTGTAAACAGACAGCTGTAAAGGGATGAAGAATTTAAAGTGTAGGCTTGTCTAGTAATTCCAAGCCAAACAGGAATGCTTCCTGAGGCACTTCTCTGAATTATCTTACTGGAACCTCCTGAATTTAGCTGTAACTGGAAACAAACTTGTTTTGTTTCAGAAGTAGTATTATACTGATTTTTTTTTCTTCTTCTCTGTTTCTCATGTGGAAAAACAAAGTTCAACTTAAATGCTTAATGTAAACCCCCTAGTGAAAGCTGATAGAAATATTATACAAAAGTTTGCCAGACAGCTGCTTTTTAAAAATGTCTTACATTAATACTTCAGACAAAGTCATGGCTTTGTTTATTTGAAAGGAGAAGGTATAGACCAAGGTTGCCTTTGTTGTATGCTTTTCTTGAGTGTCTTTTGTCCAGGAATTGATTTGTAGGTTGGAGGGCTGGTAAGGTCAATTAAGCTGCAGCCTGGAATGGAAGGAAGAGTTTCTTGGAGTAGAGATTCTGTCCCTTGCCAGCTTTAATGGCTCAGAGTGCTAAGACTGACATTTGTAGCCCATTCTGCCTATCTTGCCCCATCTTGTGCTTGCTTTTATGATGTTGGCAGAGAGTAAGGTAGTAGCATATCTTTGCAATAGATCTGTACTGAAAGGTGGAGGGAAACTAGAAAAGCTTGGTTCCTGCAGTATTATCGGCTGTTTATTTTCTCCTGGCTGAAAATGGGTGAATTTCTATAGTAGGTTGAAAATTGGAGCGGAGAGAAACCAGGAGCATGGTTTGAAGGCAGCAGCACAAGGGTCACTGTGCAATGAGGCTAGGAAAGTCACCGGGACTCAACTGTGGGATGAAGGATGGAAGTGACAGCATGTGCTGTTGCTGTGCGGAAAATAAATTAGACTGGAAAAAGTTGTGCCTTGTCAGTCCTGCTGAGTCCTGTCTTCCCTCTTGTCCCTTTGTGTGCTGCTCTGTCCCAGTGAATGGTTAATAGTCTTATTCACGTGACTGGTCTTAACAGAATAGACAAAACTTAAAAATTTATGTATCAGCTATATTTAAATCTCTTTGTGACTTGCTTCTAGAAAATGTATTTATAGTAAGTAATATCATGCATCTCTTCTGATAGGCTTGTTTTTCTTTATATGCTAAGAATTAATAGGAAACAAAGATGCTAGAAATGGGAGAAGAGGTAGAAAGAATATTGAAAAGGTTTGATGCTTCAATAGTGTGTACAAAACTTAGAGCTAAGGTAATTTGAGAAATGTGGTGTTTGACCTATGAAAGTGTTCTAGCTTGCTATTGAAATCAGATGAACTAGCCAAACCAGTAAATCAAGTGTGCAGAAAATGCACTATTTTGAAAAGTCCTCATTCAACACATACTTCATAAATCAAATAAATATGTTAACTAGCACAAACTCTAATTTTTAAAAAAGTAAAAGCAGAATTTGTTTAATTCTGGAATGATGGGAGAGTCTTGACAACAGGAAACTT